ACCTAGAGGCTGTGTTTTAACAAGTATCATCTCAGTGCTGGTGAATATGACGAATACTTACTGTTGGAAATCTGGTCTTGCTGGCATCAAATATTTCTCAGAGATAGAATACTACTTTTTCTTAACTTAAAAAAGTAATTTAAAAAGAGGTTAGAGGTGATATGTGTGGCCAGCTTAACTATTAGAGAATTATATATTAGATACATTGGTATTATTCTGCAGTGCAATTAGTTAGGCCCAGGACTTGACAATGCTATTATCTTAAAGGATTTACTAGTCTTTAAAAAAAATGTTTTATTACCATGTATAAGTTGTACAGGTGGGGTTAAATGTGACATTTCTATATAAATATTCATAATGTATCTTGGCTAGATTGACCTCCTCCCCCATCATTCTCCATACTCATCTTGAAGTAATGTCAACAAGATCATGGAGTAGGAAGTTCTGGACCTTCTTTCTCAGCCTCCTAAATACACTTATTCTTAACAGTTCATTGTAACATTTCCTTTTTGAGCCATCCAGAAACTAACAATTAGATGAAAAGGAACTGATCAGACAATGGAGAAATTCAGGATGGATATTCACCAGAATCTCTGCCCTCTGGCTTAACAGCATATGACCAGGAAGAGATCCCCTAGGTCCAGCTTCTCTGAGGGGAGAAAAGAAGGCTAGTTTAAGTACTCAGCATCCCAGTTTTTCCTAAGAGGCTCCCAAACAAATGGCTCTATCTTGCCTCATCTGTAGTGTTAATGGGTCTGACACAGTCTATCCATCTGTCAGACAATAGAGATGACAACTTCAGCTCTGAATTCCATAGATTATCCTTTTATTCCATATGGAGTGAGCAATCAGAAATCCTATCTACCTCCAAAGATAGAGATGTGACCCAAGTATTTAATCCTCTACCTTCTCCCAGACTGTCCAAAGAGCTAGCATCTGTTTTATCAGTATTGAAGCTCTGCCTGGTTTGGCACAGTTAAGCCCCCTACAGGAGGACAGAGACAGTGGTTTTTTATAAAAGAAGTAGCAATAGATCTTCCCTATTACTGTGCACAGAGAAAATGTTAGCATTCTCCTGGGCAGAGTAAGAGTTGATCTTTGCATGCAATGTCCCAATTTCTCTAGGGATTCCCTTACTTACCAGACTTGAAGTTCTGATGGGTCTGATGCAATCTAGTCACCTAAGGGAGAACAGAGACAGTGGTTTGGACTGTTAGACACCATGATGCCTCTCTTAGCTCAGCACAGAGTAGGCACAGTTCTCTGCTTCTCTCTGGGAAGGGAAATGGTTAGGAGAGGACCCAAGAATCTCCAGTCAGATTGATTTGTGTGTGGGGTTTCTCCTGTTTGAGGCTCGTGTGTGAACTGGAAGAAGGGCCTGATATGCAGACATCCACATGAATAGTAAAGAAAAATGAAGAATTAGACAAAGATGTTCCAAACAATGGAATAAATCTGCAGAAACTGACCTCAATGTTGCAGAGTTACATGACTTATCTGACAAAGAATGCAGAATGACTATCATAAAAATGCCCATGGAAGCTGAAAGAAAAATGTGAGAACAAAGTGAGAATTTTAACAGAGATAAAAATAGTTACAAAATACCAGACAGATCATGGACCTGCAGAACACAGTAAAGGAACTAAACTGTTCACCAGAGGGGTTCAACAGTAAGCCAGTAATGCAGAGAGTCAGCAAACTCAAAGACAAATCACTGGAGACAATTCAGTTAGAGGAGAAAAGTCTTAAAGGAGTAAAAAGGAGTAAAGCTTGAGGGACTTATAGAATAACATTAAACAGACCAATATAAATATTATGGAAGTCCAAGAAGTAGCAAGTTGAGAGAAAGGACAGAATGCTCTCTCAAAGATACCAATGATCAAAAATTCCTAAATCTGTGGGAAGAAATTGACATCCAGATACAAGACCCCAGGGACGCCAAATAAGATGGTGAAAAAGAAATTGTCATTAGTTATTTCTAAGCTGAGAAAACATTAGAAAGACTTTTATGCATAGAATGTTTTCAGATTACGATGTTGTTTTTATATTATAAAATGTCATCACACAGAACAGATCCACTTCTGCTGCAAAGAGAAATTGGTAACACAGAAATTATACAGATATAGACAGTAAAAATAATTCAGATACTGACTAAAGTAAGACATGTAACATAGTAAACAGTTTTGTATGAAAATGCTATTTTCTACCTTTGCTACTCCTTCAGCAAGTGGGGCTTTGGACTGGCCAAACCATTTATTCATACACAGCTCAGTATCAGCCAACAGCAGCTACTGGGGAGCAAATGTATGGACTTTTGCAAGTCATTATAGTATGTGGTACTCAAAAACTTTCCAATGAGCGTAGTTTAATATCTGTTGCTTCACTGTTTCTTCTTTTCTATTTTTCTGTATGTCTTCCCTACTTGAAACTACCAATAGAGAAGACTGGTTCTGTGGGTAATGGCAAATCTAACTCTGTCCTCATCCTCTCTCTGGTACATTGATAGCTTGAAAAATTTATCTTGGAAAGTGACTGCTACTAACATGTCTGATCGGAAAAAAATTCATTAATTGATGATTTAGTGATTTCAGTGGATATTTTATTGTTTTCTCTTGAAATTGCTATATCAATCTGTTGTCTAAAGTCATTCAATAATGCAGTGTTGTGCTCTGTATCCTATAATATTTAGAGAAAAAGACTCACCCTTTTTATAGCTGTTGATTCAGAAAAGATTGGTATCCTACTTTTCTTACTGACGTTAATAAAAACTGAGGCACCTCTGTGATCTTATGTTGTATCTACTAGAAGTGAAAAATTTCTTCAAAATTAGTGAAGAGGCATTCCTTAGTGTATTCAGGTATGCCCTGTAGCAAGCCAGTCATAAACAGAAGGAAGGAAAATGTGTCACCAACCCTTGGGAAGGCTTTGTTGGTATTCTCTACAGAAAGGGGGTGCAGGCTAAGATGGCAGATAAGAACAGGATGTAAAATCTTTGATGATTTATTCTGTGTCTGTATTCCTTTTGTTTCTTTAAAAATAAATCAAACAAAATGAACAAAACCTTTGCCTTTTGATTCCATAAAGAAAAGTGATTTTACTTAGCAAAGTAATTTTTCTCTAAATATTTAACTTTTAGAAAAAAAAAGCAGAATAGTATTGGTATAGTGTCTTCTGTGAAACATGAATTTTGTGTGATACTTCTTCCAATTCTATACACCTCTACAATGTCCTGTGTGTAGCCCTCTTCTTTCTATTTTTGAAATACTCTTTAACCATACCAGTATTTTAACCACAAGGTTCTAATTCTTTACAAGGCATTACTTATTTCTATTACCCAGAGAAGAGAGTCATTTGAATTATAAATTTTAATAATAGATTAATGATTATTGCAAAAAACAAAAATGTATTTTAAAACTTTAAGTATAGAATATTCCTTTAGAGAAATATTTTTAGAAGTAAGTAAATGTAGAATTTATACTGAAACTTACAGGAATAATACTTAGTAAAAAGAATCACTATGATAGCTGAATTCCAGTGGCTCATGCCTGTAATTTTAGCTACTTGGGAGGCTGATATCAGAAGGGTTGAGGTTCAAAGGCAGCCCAGGAGTGATGGGAGAAAGTTAGCAATATCCCCACTCAACCATTATCTGGGTGTGATGTAATGCACCTGTTATCCTAAGCTGCACTGGGGGCTGAGATCAGGACAATCTAAGCTCCAGGCCAACCCAGGAGAAAAAGTTAGTGAGTTCCCCTCTCAAGGGGAAACAAAACAAAACAAAACTAGGCGTGGTAGCACACAGTAATCTCAGTGTTGGTGGGAAGCATAAAATAGGAGAATTGCAGTCTAAACTGGCATGGGCAGAAAAAGCAAGACCCTATTTCCAAAATAACCACAGCAAAAAGGGCTCAAGGCATGGTTCAATCAGTAGCGCACCTACCTGGCACATGCAAGGCCTTGAGTTCAAACCCAAGTACTGCCAAAAAACCAAGAAAAGAATCGCTATGATAAAGTAGGTTTGAAATTTTATCATTTATGAATAGACAAGCTTAAGTAAATCCACTGCTTCCCAGACTAATATTGCACTTTACAGTCAAATTTTAGAGTATTTTAATATTCATTTTTATAAATGTAGGAAATAGAATTTTCAACTTTTCCATAATTTACTAGTTAGGTTTTGTTATCTGTTTATTATCTTTATTTATAATATTCTAGGTTCCAAAATTTGGAAAGTTGTTTAAGAAAATTACATTCAGAAAAAGTTATCCAGGGGCTGAACGTGGTGGGTCAAACCCGTAATCCTAGCTTCTAAGCAGGTGGTGATCAGGAGGATGGTGACCAGTCAAAAAGTTAGTGAGACTCCCATCTCAGCAACAATTTGTAAAACTACCTTTGCAGGAGTTGTGGATAGGAGGATCATGGCCTGAGGCTGTCTGTCAGGGAAGAAAAAAATACATGAGACTCTATCTCATAAATAACTAAAACAAAAAAGAGCTGAGGGTATGGTTTAAGTGATAAAGTGCCTGCCTGGCAAGCACAAGGCTCTGATTTCAAATTCTAACACAGATCCTCAAAAAGTTATCTAAGTATTTCAAAGAAATTGGTTCTGTTTTATCCAAATTAGTTAATCTTCACCTAGTGCTTTGTTGGGTCATTTTTGAGTTTAAATAGTGGGAGAAAAAAATTTAGATAATAATTATACTAATATTACTGGAAATAGAAAGCACCTCTTTCTTATTCTTTTTTGAAGACTTTGTTATTATTTTGTTTAAATATAATTTCAAAATTTGTTTTCAAAACTTCCTTTAAATAAAAAATTTTTATTTATCCAGTCATTCCTATGTTTGAATATTATTACACTATAGTATTATTCTCTTTCAGGTAAATTTAATTAACAAAATCATCTTTTAAAAAACTGAGTGTAGCAAAGCAACATGTCTTTCTTTTCAATGTAGTAAAGCTTTTAATTGACAGAAAACCACCTTGGGTTGCTTCCCTAGAATTCCACTAAATGTTAGAGACATCGTCTACTGTACAGGAGTGTCACTACTGGATGAGGACGTCTGGGAATTCATTTGGATGAAATTCCACTCCACCACAGCAGTTTCTGAAAAGAAGATCTTATTAGAGGCTTTAACTTGCAGCGATGACAGGAATTTATTAAATAGGTGGGTCAATTAATTTTCTCTTTATTTTTGTAGTGTAATAATTCTCCTTATTTTATTGTCTTATTTTTGTGACTCTACTAGTGAAACTGCTCTGATGCTGCTCTTATTTCCTTGACCATATGGCCATAACTGCAAAGTGTATTTTCCAAAAATTAAGGAAAACTACCATCTTAACATGACTGAGGCCTCTTGACTTAAGAGATAGCTTTGCAACTAATTATCTTATAAAATGTATATATGTGTATAAGAAAATATTTCATTGGAAAAGGAAATGCTATAGAAGAATTTTAAAGGGGAGTTTGTGTTATCAAATTAAAATTGTGATTTCCCCATCCAACAGGTATTTTGAAGTGTTTAATTGATGTATTTAATTAAAATACTATGAATTTGGTCTTCCCCATTTTATAAACAGAAATTGTTCTCATAATAAATTTGTACTGGAAAAGTTTGCATTGGACTATTCTTTTGAAGAATATGATGAACTAGATCATGTAATTTTTAGTAAGAATATAAAAATGTTTAATGATATGACTAAAAATTTCTCCACAATCCTACCCTTAACAGGCTTCTAAATTTGTCACTGAATTCTGAGGTCGTACTGGATCAAGATGCAATTGATGTCATAATCCATGTAGCTCGAAATCCACACGGTCGAGACCTTGCCTGGAAGTTTTTCAGAGATAAATGGAAGATATTAAACACCAGGTAGAAATAAAAACTTAATCATTCATACTCGAATGAGTAAATTAGATCTAACAAAGGAGAAGCAAAGACCCAGATAGTAGAATTAGATTTTAAAACAGTGAATCAACATCAATGTTACCACTCCACAAAACTCAGAATTACTTTAAAAATTCTACAAAATTATTCATTTATTAAAGATTGATAACCTTAATTAATTACATGTTGAAGCATGAAGCATACAAAAGGCTTAGCAGAACTTTTCTAGAAAATCCATCAAGTTGTTCAAATTGAAGAAATCATGTCATAAAATGCCTAAATCCTGTATCTGTTATAGAAAACTGATTTATAAATCGGATATAAATGGAATACCATAGCAAGAAAATTTAATTATTTCTGTCAAATTATTTTAAATTCCCTTTAAATATACATATCATAAAACGCCCGCCTAAAACAATGACAAAGAGATACCTTAATCACTTGAATCATTGTATGATTCTAGATGCAGTGGAATTCATTCCTAGGATATTTTGTTTCATAGTGAGATTCTTAAGCCCAATTTTACCAAATATTGCATCATGTATGTAAATATATTATAATAAATGCTAATTTATTACTCTGATAATCTCTCTTGTTCTAAAATTAAATTTATTATAGAGCATGTAAATACTGAATGTTATTCTCAAGCATAAATGTTCCCAGGTAGTAAGCAGAACTACTGTTCTCATAGAAATGAATATACAAATTACTATATTTAAGCACATTTTTATCAGTTGTCCTGGTATAATGAGTTCAATTGAAATGGATATGTCATACTAAAACACATTTTCATCTATAGTTATTTCATTGTCAGAAAGCACTGATATTCCTAGAAGGCACATTGACTTTTTAATATTTTCAGCTTAGAACTTAGAATGATTGGAAGATTGGTACTTGATTTGCTGTCATGAATATAATAGAATCATATAATGACCAAATAGTTAAGGTCAAATTCATATACATGAGCATTTCACTTCAAAGGATGTCAAATATCTACCAATACGCTGTTTTTGATTTTGCAGATCAGTGGAATGCATCTGTCAGCATATGTATAGTTTATTGTCTCCTTCAAAATATTCAGTTCCTAGTATGATTTTCTATCTGCGAGTCCATGATCTCCATGCAAAAATTAGAAAAGTGGACGTTTCACTGTATCTATAAATAGTTGTGTTTATCTTGACAAATGGGCATGCATTCATTGTCTGCTCCCAATCTACTCCTCTGTCAATCCTTGAATGTTGGAGATAATGAGTAGTCCTGTCCAGGATACACTTGTCTTCTCACATTGCAGGTTCTTCCTGGTGTTAGTTTCCGTCTATATCATGGTTTCAATCACTCCCAAATCAGTATTTTTAACTCAGGCATTTCACCTGGACATCACCCTATGGTAGATCATTCCCCATTGAGCAACCCTATTGGAGTGTGCCTATAAAACTAAATCCACCATTTCCCTCTGGTCTTCTGGTAAATATTATAGCCATTCACCAATTGCCCAGGTCAAACACCTGAAACTCTAACTTGGCACCACCTTTCCTCACCATATATGACAATTACATTTGAAGCCCTGTCAATTTTACAATTTCCTAAATGTTGATTGTTTTCTCTTTTCATGCTACCACTTCCCTAGTGCAGGGTTTTATTTTTTATAGTAGTCTTACAGTAACTGCCTTCTGTCTCTGTGTCTCTATAATGGCACTCAACACCATACACACACACATACACACACACACATACACGCACACACACACAGGCATCTAGTTTGATGCACCTCTGTTTATGGATGAGAAAACTAAGTTCCCTAGAAGCTAAATTATTCAAGGTTCCATGACCTAGGTCAGCATTAGAAAACCTCTTGTAATGATGTCTGGATGGACCTTTGCTTCCAAAACCCCAGAGTCTTATTTTTCAAGTACTTAGTTCTAATAGTGTGATACCCATGAATTACTTTTAGCATGGTAGAGGTGGATCAGTAAAATGAGAACTCTTTCTATTCACTGATACACATTGCTGTTTGACTTAAGTCAAGTAATTGTGTTAGTGGTATAAGAATTATGAAATCCCAATGACCAACTAGATATTTTAACACCCACATGAAAAACATGAAATAGGAGAGTATCAAAGTCTATTGTGACTGACCAGACCACAGAATCTGTGAGATACTGATTATTTCCATTTTTGCCTCATAGTTCATAGTCCTCTTTCCTTTATTGGATCTTTTCCCTTAGAAGGAACTAGGTTACTTTAGAGTTGAAAGTTTTATATCTTTTTTCTCCAGCCTTCAATTTGGCAATGGAACATCCAATTTAAGAAACTCTGCTTTCTGAAAAAAAAAAAAAAACAACCCAAGAAACTTACTACAATTTAGACTCTTTGAAATGCTGTGAGTTGGATCAGGTGGGACTTGATAGTATCCCATAGTTATAGATATTTCTTTGCACCTCTCTCATTCCTGGAGAATAGATCTGGGATGCTCAGAGATCTGATAATTTCTGGCAATTCTTGTCAAATGGAACCCTTGGGAAAGATTAAAAAATCTTTATAGTACTTTTCTTAAGTTATTACTTGTACTGACATTAAAACTTTTTCCTTTTATCTTTTGAGGTATGGAGAAGCATTATTTATGAATTCCAAACTCATCAGTGGAGTTACAGAATTTCTTAATACTGAAAGTGAACTTAAAGAGGTAAATATGATATTTTAATTCTTTTCTTATATAAAAGTATGAATTTATATATTTAGTTCAAACACTTATTTTAATCAGATTCATACTCATTTGTTTTACAAAGAAACACATACATATTAAAAACTTTTTAAAGTCATTTGCAAGGTTATTTCTAATATAACTTTAAGCATTGAATGATTAGAAAAGTGTTTGAGTATAATGATTTCCAAAGGCAGGGTACTTAAAATACGGTCTTGAAATCTTTGACCCAATCAGTTACTATTCAGATAATTCTATGATCCCAGTTTAGTATCCACTAACTAACAAGACCATCAAATCAGTGACAGTATTTGTTTAAAAGGGTTAAGAACAGAACATGAGTGTCTCTGCTTTGTGGTTAGTACTGTGTAGACAACAGATAATGACAAAGCACCCTGATAAATGGAATGAATTTATGTGTGGAAAAGAACCTGTATGACAATCCACATTGAAATGAATAGTTTAAAATAGTTTGTTTGGCACAATCACAAATGAATTTTATTAATAAAAATAAGCTTGATGTTTTAATGGTCTAGGGTACAGACTGAAGAGTATCTAAAATTTCTTTTTACCCCTGGTTTATTTCTCTGGAAATATAAACCAGCTAGATGTCCCTCTTCCCCCATTAACTTACATCTCTAAGAAAGGGATGTGAAATAGGTACAGTTAAGTATGTAGGAAATTGGAACAAAATAAAGATTTATTTAATTGATTACAATGACATGAGCTCCAAACACCTACTGCCTTTTTCCTCTTGTGCTCCCCTTATACAATCTAGCTGATATTTGGCATTGAGTATCCTGGTTTCATCAGTTTTCACTGATGCAATGCCTGATGACATGACTCAGAGCTGATCACTTGAACACACTGAGCACCTTTCTTCTAGAAGCATAAGTCCTGGTACTCTCCTTAATATCTTCCACTATTGCTCAGTTTCTTGAGATCATCCCCCATACACTAACTTGGATTCTTTCAGACTGTGAGCTGAGCTGAGCTAAGGCTCTGATAGTAATGATTTAAAATTCAGTCTTTATCCCTGTGATGTGTGCTCCCAACCCTGAAGGATTAGCACTGAAATCCCAGAACATTTTTTTTTTACTATTTTTTACATAAAAGAAGCTAAATGGAAAGAACTTTTAATACCCATAGGAAGCAGAAAGAACAATTAAATTAATGATTGCTTCCAATTTTCTCTGTATTTAAATGAAGTACTTTTAATGTTGTGATTTTACATTCATTAGTGTAGGAATGAAGGATTCGTTTATTCACAACCTGTGCAGGCATTCAAAGGAACACAGAAGTGAAAGGGGAAGTGAAAGATCTCTCTCACTTTCCCCCTCCTCTTCCCTCCTTGTTCCCTTCCTTCTCCCTTCTGTCCTCTTTTCTGCTAACCTCTTTCCTTCCACCTCTCTCCTGATCCTTCTCCCTTCTTTCTTCCTCTTTTCTCTACTCTGCCTTTCACATTTTTCTCGATTTAGTAAGACCCAACTCATGATAAAAAACATCTTTTAAATGGATATTTAATTGGTTGATTGTTACCACATCCTGACCATTTTGTTTTACATATTTCACTTATATATTTAATTTTGCCCTTTATTTAATTGACATTTTCAATGTTCCAAGGTATCCCTGTCATGAAAGATGCAATTTCAAACCTGAAACTAAACTGTGGCTTTTATTCTATTATCTTCAAAGCAAGTTTACTTCACAATGCAAGCTCTCAGTGGAATGAGGGATGAATCCCTTCACTGTGGGCTACTCGCTTTTAGTTTCTAGTTTCACCACGTCTGCCTGAGGCTTTTCCATGCTTTCATTGTCTAATCATTGTCTACAAGATTGGGGAAACACTATTTTCACAGGGGGAGTTATTGGGGGATTTAATTTGTCACCACCATAACACCTTCCGTAAATAGAAAGGACTAATCAAGATACGGTCCAGTCACTTCCAGAAACCCAGATGTGTTTAGGTTGCAGTGTGTTCTTATTTCCAAGTGTCCATAGATCAAAAAGGAATCTGCATGTTTATGAATTCTGAAAACTGATGTGATATTTTTAATGATCCTTACCAGCTTTAGGGGAATTTAGTAAAGGTAATTATATTGTTCTATGATTCCTTCCCCAAATGTAGTCCTGAAACTGGACCTCCCCTTTAATTACTTGTCCATAGCTATTTGAATAATATTTCTTCATGAGGTAATCCATCATTTCTTTAATCTTAAACTAATGGAAGTCCAACCTCATGGAACCTCAGAGGTCCTTGCCATTTGTACACACTAAGGTCCATTAAGCAATCCTTTTCTGCCTCTGGAACCTAATATACAATACTATTGTGGAGGAACATGTACCCTGTGCATCACAAACATCCCACTTACATTCCCATTATATTCTTCTTAATATGTGTAAGTCAATGTTGAAGACATTTGCCTCATCACAAGAAAATAGCTAATTTTTTATTTCTATAATTAGTAAGACGATATTATGTTTTTCAATTTATTATAAAAATTCTTTTTTTATTTTCTTTTTAAGTTTCCTGGGCCAGGGATCTCTGCCATACACTGTTCTTTTTCTTTTTCTTTCTTTCTTTCTTTTTTTTTGTGTTAGGAATACTTTGTAGCATTTACGAAATTTCTTGCAAGGTATCAAATATATCATACTTCAATTCACCCCTTCCATTATTCTCCTTTACCCTTCCTCTCTCCATTCCTGGAATAGTTTCAACAGGTCTCATTTTTCCATTTACACACATGTGTACACAGTATTTGCATCTTATTCACACTCTTATTCCCTTTGCTTATATATTCCCTCCCTCCCACTGGTACCAACCCCCCAGACAGGACCTATCTGACCTCCTGCTATCTGATGTAAAAATTCTTTATTATGTTGGAGTCTAAGGTACTCTGAAATAAGAACTTTTTAAAAAAATACTAAAATTCTTTTAATGGATGAACTAACAAACATGCCTGGAAGTTTTATGCTAAGAAAATCAAAAGGTACAACACTGCCATTTTAGTAAATGCTACTTTATAAAAGTGTCTAAGCTTGCAGTGTTTTAAGATAAAAGCATAGCATGGCATAAATATCTAGGAACTACAATAAAAAGAAGTAATCACAGCAGCAAATCTACCAAAGAGCTGAAGAAATGAGCAGACTGGAATTCCAAATGCCTTTCATCTATCCAACCCTGTGAAGTGAGGAGGAGGTCTTTAAGGTACCACAGTCATACACCACCACCAATGAGATGGCTACTGTGATCAAATTTGGTTAAAAGCTGCAGAGGAATACAGGCTATAAGATGAATTTATGGCAACTGGAGAAAGTGGGCCAGATGTGTTCTGATGAATAAGCTACTCTTCAAATGTCTATGAGTCACCTCAGTGTCCCTGAGCTCACACAGCAAGTATTTAGTACACTTAAATAGTGATTTAAGAAATGAATCTCTAGAGACTCACCAGTTACATTGTCTACTGAGAGTTCTCTTGCAGGATAATCTGACCTACTATCCTTGTGTCAGTAATATGTTCATATTCAAATCCATGCTTTGCCTTTAAGGAGAGAGTTTTACTTTTGTATTCAGACTTGTTTCATAAAGAGGCCAAGAGGACATGTTTCACAGAGTTAAAGTTGCCAAAGGGCATTGATCATTATCTGGCATATTCAGTGAATGCCCAGGAAAAAAATGTGATAATGCAGAACATATTTTAAAGGAAATAGATGCAAGTTTTATTTACATATAACATGTAAATATGACACTATAATGTTTTATAATAAACTACAAAATTCAAGACAGAACAAAATTGTATTTGCTGCTTTATGGATCTAAATTGAATGAGTCTAAACATAAATATATAAACACAAAGGTATCATATTTTAATCAGCTAAAGTTTCAAATTATAAGTCAAGTACTACATTAGACTTCTTGTGTATGTGTGTATGTCTATGACAGTGCCTGGAATATTGGAGATACTCCATAAATTCCAATCCCTTCCTTCCTTTTTTCTTAATATGTGTAAATCAGGCCAAATGTCAGATTAGTTTTTAGGATTGCACTGAAAATACATCAGCTATATCACAAGTTTGTTATGAAAGAACAGTAATTTTGAAGACTTTTCAAGACTATAGCTCTGAAATATGGTTGTCCTTTGCTAATGCTGCTAGACATGGGGCTTTGTAGAAAAAGTAGATGATAAAGTTTGAGAAAGCCCATTAGTGTCTTGTAATTAAAGCAGCATTAAACATTAAAGTAACATAAATAAGCCAACGATCCATGAACTAAATTCCAAATTAATTTGGAAAGGTATAATTAACTGCATTTTAAACAACTACTACCTCATTCTCCCCGCCCCAGAGCTTGTCTTGATTCCCTAAGCTTCCTTCCTGGCATATTCTCCATGTGGCGCCCACCAAGTGATGAATCACACCCCACACTAATTACACCAATAATGTTTCTGTGTTGCAAGTTGATTTTTCACATTTGCCTATTAGCATTGTAACTGCTGTTTGGTTAGTTGCCAGTTTAAGACATATCAAACCGAAAGAACAACTGCCAGTATTTAATCTTGAAGTAAATTCCCTTAGTATTCCCTGAGCATGTGGACCTCTAAATAAAATCTCATATCAGTAAAAAATATGAAAAAGCACTTAAAAGTTCTAACTGAAATGCTCAAGTTCTCTAGTTAAGTGATATCATATTTCCTTTATTCTTTCTAAATCTAGTTACTGGGATGATTGCAATGTCATTAATCATCCAGTTTCCATAGCACCATTAATTTTTTTTCCCACCCAGTAACTTTGGTAATCCTTTGACATAGCAGATAATGCCAAGCACTGTACTGCTTATTTGTAGAAGATGGAGAATCATTTTCTTTCTTCAAACAAAAGAACTTTGATCCTTATATTCAGTTGGTAAGACTGTTTCCTATAGTGGATATGGCTTGCAGTTAGATCTAATATTTGTCATAAATACTATCAACCTATTCTGAAGAGATATATATGTCTGTCTTAATATCTGTTAATGAAACAAGCTGAATTTGGTACTGCTGAAATTGTAATGTTCACTCTTTTTTTCTTTTGCATTTCAAAATCAATTATATCACATCTACCTGACAAAACCTGTCATATTTCATTTCATTACCAAACATGCTCCACAGTAGTAAATATACCTTCTGTAGGATTGTGGTACCAAATCAGGCCTATTTTGCACACTGAGCAATATGGCCAATCACTGAAATGATGAGTTTTGTAAAAGAGAGAGTTCATTCATGAGGCGACCAAGTGTAGTGAGATGGAAGAGCAAATCTGAAATACACCCTTTGAAGAAAAATTTGAGGGGTATTTATTGAATAAAGAAGCAGGATGATTTAAGGAAGGAAAGGTGATCAGAGGTGAAGTAAGCACTTGTTTGTGTAATTAGTCTTCAAAGCTCTTCATAGGACTACTCTTCCGAACATGCCAGGATTAGCGTGAGCTGAGGGTGGAGGTTTTGCCCTTCTGACGTCAGGGTCACCTGTTTAGTCCCAAGTGAAGAATCAGTACTTTTAATACAAGTGGCTTCAAGTCCCTAAAAAGTAACCTAGGCAGCCATTATCATCATGCCCCACCCATCAGAGGTGTTAATTACCACAAAGTTAATGAGAGACTGATATATTGTTTAGCTGCATGACTTTCAAAATTAAAGACTTAAAGTTAACCAAAAGAAAATTACTAAAGGGAAGTAAAGTTAAACTGCTTTTCAGGTTTTCCCTTGGCTTCAATTGTAGCAGTTGGTTTCAAATAGATTCTTGTTCCTCTATGTCGCACACGAGTTCATTTTAAGACACGTAGATTACCATTTTAAATGTCTATTTCCAGCTAAAGAACTTCATGAAGAGCTATGACGGGGTAGCTGCTGCTTCTTTCTCACGAGCTGTGGAAACTGTGGAAGCCAACGTGCGCTGGAAAATACTTTATCAAGATGAGCTTTTCCAATGGCTGGGAAAAGCTATGCGGCACTAACATGTTTCTCTTCTGAACAATTCAACTCAGAATTTTGTGAGAGAATCTGCTTTAAGTGAAATGAGGAAAATGGCCAGAATTTCAGAGTTAACATGTGGGAGGATATTTTTTCTTTTGGTTTTGGGGGATTTTTTTGTTTGTTTCATTCATTCTGTTTTGTTTCACGACTGGGTGTTCTTCTGTAAAGAAACTTGCAAGTGAAACTTGCCATGGTTGCTTCAGCTGTACATTTCTTGCTGTACAGGACCAAATATAATAGTGGTGCATGTTGATGTTGCAGTCAGTTTGGAAAAAATATATTCCGGATACTCTGTGCATGGTCCTGCCTGTGTTCCAGCATGCTTATTAAAATGTCCAATGTTGAATGTGAATATATGTTACATCCAGGATGGGCATTATACAAAAGCACAACGATTATCTATGACAATCAGTGTTGCAATGAAAGTAAAACTTTAAAGGGAAATTTTCTCTTCTCAGTCTTGGACATCAGAGAGTTAAAATAGCCCTTTAAGTGATCAGTATCATTTATTTGAGCACTTGGATTGTCTGGCAATGATTACTGTGTTGCTAACTCATTTTCTTTGAGTTAAAATTGTGTATAAATTAGAAAAGCATACAGATCGTGTATACATATGTGTATGTACATAGGGAAGACCCCATATGTATATAGTATGTTGTACACTGCATATGTGCAAAGAATCTCTTTAGATCAACGAACATTTCTTTTTTTATAAGTGTATGGACACTTTGAAAAGGCTTGAAAGAGTTTATCTCAACATTATCCTTCCTGTCCTAACTAAATTTCCAAACTGGTTTTTCATCTGTTTTCTGAACAGTGGTTTATTCTACTATGTGAAGATAAATTCTAACAAAATTTACATATGTAAACTAACCACTCTTCTAATTCTCCTGGGATAGTAGCAGCCTTGCGTACAGATTCTGTCAGCATTTTGGTCACATTTCCTATCACATAAGACAATTGTGTAAACTTATAATTATCAGCACTGAGAAAGTGTTTATTTTCCATCAGGTTTGTCCATTTTATCTTGGCTGGTGCAGAGTTAAAATATTTCTCCGTGTGTTAGTCTGTATCTGTGTTGCTCTGATCCTGCATTAAGCAACCATACCTCAATGGGTCTATAAGCATTTAATGACCTTTTGTGCCAGTTGTACCATCCCCTAAGATACAAATTTGCTTTTATTGTATTAACATACAAAGCCTTTCTTTTGGCATTAACAACTTTGTCTACCTGGGAAGTTTGAATAGCCATTTTCATGGCTGTGTGGAACACAAGTTTTTTTAAATGGCATTCTTACCCAGTAGGCCAGCTCTATAAAAATAATTTCTGTGTTTCAGAATTAACAAAATTTAAGCTTACCATTATAAAATATTGATGCAACTACTGTATGAATGAGTAAAGTGTTTGTGGACTACTTCTTATTTTCCTGAGGCATTCCAGTCCTCCAAATCTTGCAAATCATTGAAACAAATGAATTCTGAAACTAATAATCATCAAATACTGAAAAAAATAGGCATTCATGAACCTAGTGCCATTGAATTCTTTTCAGTGCATAGAAAGAAGAAATAATCCCATAATTCATAGAATAAGACCACCTAAAATTGAATTTTATCATTTAAGCAACTAATTACTCATACTTAAATTTTTCAACACTTCATTCAATGAAAATACATGAATCTTAAATACTCTATGTGGTGTTAATAAGCCATGATAATTCTTAGTATAAACAAAAATTATGCCACCTATCAGAAATGATAAAATCCAATTACTCTACATGTCACACAATTATTTTATATGTCACATTTATGAAGTCCTTATGGGGCAAGTTCTGAAACATAATAATAATAAATATTACACTGCCACTTAGGCCCCAAATATTCCCTATATCACTACTAAATTCATGTAACTGAGATGATAAAAAATGGGAACTGGGTGTCTTGTTTTGTGTCATGAATTACTGAAAATTCTTAGTAGTTGTGGCATTTTTTACAGTGAAATCACTTTGAGTTAGAAGAGCTTTTATAGTTCTTTATCCTCCCCACTGTTAATAGTCATAATCCTCTTTCAGTATTTTAGTGGCCTTGAACAACTGGTTTAGCTACAATTTCAAATCCTAAGTGTATAATTATGTGCAATGTTTAATACCTCATATAATTCTTGTTCAACAGTATAGTGGTACCAATGGCGTTGAGATGACATTTTTGTTCTACATATTTTTCAATAGTTTATCATTTTCAATGTTGAAATTATATCAGGCTTTAAAGTTTTTTAGTTGTTTAAATAAGTAATATTTTCAAAATAATAAAATAACCAATGGTATCTCTTGGAATATTCTGTAAATTGTAGTTATAAAATTATATTTTCTACTTAGAGTTTCTATCTTTACTCTCTTCTTTGTCTGTTATACAAATCATATATATGCATAAAAACAAATTGTTGAAAGTGTTCAACATCTATCTAGTCTTTGACATTTATTGTGTCAATACATATACAACAACAAAACTTGGTTTGAATTAGAAAGGACTAAATTGTTTACCACCTGGATATTAATCATCTGTAGGTGACTTGTTTATTAAAAGGTTTCCCCACTTTTACACATTTTTGTTAAAATTTTCCTATAATATTTGAAGCTTATAAAATAGATAATCTCAACCTTTAAGGCTAATGTTTACAGTTCTAAGTCTAGTCTTGAAAATCAGTAATGCATATTTTAAGCTCCCTGAAATTCCCTTTGGTGTATGTTATTTCCAGGATAATTATATCATATAACATATTTTTGGTAATACACTTTACAAGTATTATAACTGTGATATGTTACAAGATTATTATGGTTATGAATTTGTAAAATACATTCCGTTTTCAAAGAGCTTTTACACATGCTGATTTATTTGACTCCTCATAAGCACACAATATATTTTTAGCTGTATGTCCTCAAGATGAAATTTAGACTCAGAGTTGTCACATGAACTATTTAGAACTATAGTTATTTTGGAATCCTAAGTATCTCAACACAGCTTCCCTGCACTAAAAAGTAAATACGTGTTTAAACTACCATTATTCATTGAATTAGCTTGAGATTTTGCAAATACAAAGCAGAATCAAAATACATGATTAAATAAATCTGCAATAATTGCATTATTTTTAGTCTATGCTTCAAATTTACATGATTTCAGACAACTGGAAGAAAAGCGTAATCACATTTACTTTGGTCAGCATGAGTAGTAAAGTATTAAAGAAAAGAATTTAGTTTATTAGTGATACTTTTTAAAAACGTTGCATAAACAACACATTAAAATTCTGATAATTTGCCTTACTTTCAACACAAAATTCTCCATTAGTAATAATAGGTAATAGTAATGTTATCAGATAGTAATAGTAATAAAATAGTAATTTTATCATAATGCAGATAAAATGCTTTGCATCCAAATCAATGAAATAATATTCAGTAAGATGTTTATAAATCTATGGAGATTGAATTGTGAAAAAAAATCTGTGCAATGTAGCACTGAACTAGATGTAGTGATTGGGTTCCTAAAGAAGTATCCAATAAAACATTTAATTAAAATCTGCTGGTAATTAAAACTTTAAGGTATTCTTTTCTGATAAATTGATGGACCTAAAATAGCTTAGTGACTTTCTTGAGCACTACCTTGAAGTAACCACAAATCCCAGTTAAGAAGTAGTAAAAGCACATAAGATGAGAAATTAGGATTTCCACACTTATTTTTTCTGCTTTCAGAGATCATAGCTGAATTAACACTTGACAACACCTGACTGAGCAACGTTTATTTAACCTAGCATTAGTGAGGGAAAGGAAGACAGAGATGAATATGACTAAAAGGATTTTCATCAAAATAAATGAAAAAGCATAAAGAACTAGTGAAACAATCAGAATAAGGACAACATGAAAAATATTTATGTGTTCTAGGAAAAGGGGTAAATCATTTTAGATGCAGATAATACAGATCTATTTTGAACAATAGTTCTCAAAACTTCAGTATAATTTTCATTGTTTGGCTTTGTGATGCTTGTATTTATGGAAATATGTAATATTTTAAAATTATAATTTAATAATTGGGATAGAAGTTCCAACAGAAGCTATCCTTGGGAAATGTTGCTGAAGCAATTTAACAATATTTGTGCAGCAGGAAAAATGTTTAATCCACTTAGGGACAAATAGTTCAACGTTTCTAAAATAGTTTTAGCATATTTGTTATTTACAATTTATTAATTTTAAGTTAATCATGTATTTGTTAAAGCAGGCTCAGCAGTTCTTATCTTGGGATTTAGCTTATTTCTTTAAATTAGTATATGTGAACTTGAAAGCAAAAATATTCTTATAAATTTTTCTAGAATTTCAAATATTAATTATATAAAAGGAGCTTTCAATTCTATTGCATTGAATGAATTAGCAAGTTTTTAAATAAAATATTTTGTTTAATGTGGTGTAGATTCAAGAAAAGTCTAACAAATGTTTTCTTATAACTTTTATTTCAATTTTACTTTGTAAATTTTATTTTAAAGTTTAGACAAGGAAAGTTTTACAGCTCTCTAAAGTATTTTCAAAAGTAGTTATTGAAAATATAGATTCTAATGTTAAATATACTGCATGTGGTGATTTCATTTTTTAAAAAAGTTTTTCATAAGACTTGTTTAACTACTACTAGTAAATAGTATGATTTTACCTAGATTTTGAAAACTGCATTTTAAGGGCTTCTATTTCAAATGTTTAGTACTTTAAGGATTTAGTACTTTGAAAATGTTTGTTTTTCAGACATTCTTAGTTCATGCACTAATGCACTAAGAAAAAGGAAAAAAAATGACTAAATCTTAATTTTGTTCTGAATGAAATTTTTTGTATGCTGTATTAATGATAAAGAATTAATATATAGGAAAGGAACAAAAATGTGAATGTCTACTAAATTCCAGGTACTTTTTGAGTGTAATGTCCCTTAATAACACTGAAATAATTAGTTCTAATTTATCAATGAGTAGACTGAGGCTAAAATTTGTAATCAGTTTATTAATGCTGGTATTAGTTGAGATTCAGTACTCTGTAAACTAAAGCCTTATGTGGCTCAAATTCATCATTAACCTGTCTCCAGCATGTGTGTGAAAAAATGTTTATCCATACAGACTGCTCTCTGTGGGGGACTTGAATAGATAATTAGGTCACTTTATCATTGTTAGTGGCTTCATTAATATGAACGTTCACTGCATTATGGTTTATCACTTATTTTTTAAAAGGTAACTGTAAATTCTAAAAATTTTGCATCAAAAACACTTGAAATTTGTGTGTTTGTGTAGTGGGCTTGAAGTTATTACAAGGTAATTAAAAGATACTCTGACCAATGAACCATGGTAAGAAGTGAAAAGAGGATGGATTGCAAAGCTGTCCACCAGCAGACCACAAAGAGGAAGTCAAACTTCTCTGCATGGGAAGGAGACTATTAGTCTTGGCAGAACTTTCCCTTTGTTCAGCACAGAGGTCATAAAAGTATCTCTTTTCTTCTTCTTATAACTATAGAAGGATTGCATCTGCTTAATTTACTTTTAAGTTACATTTTCAGTGGGCCTGCTGTGTGTAGATAGTCTTAAGATAACTGCTTTGACTTGCCTCTGCACAGGTCAACTTGCTTTGAATGGCACACATTTTTCTTATGTCATGTAAGTAAATGAAAAAGTGAAGCAGTTTTGTAGAAAATATTATAGTGGAGTTAAGAACATCTGCCTAGAAGGTGCAGTGCATTTATTTTCTAAGTTAATCATTCAGTGGTTATCCTTTAACCCCTGCTAGGTTCACAGGATTGTACATGCTCTTATTTGTAATTCTTTCCCACACCTTCACACAGCTTATGACCTACTGAGTGAGAAATTTATTAGGAATTCTTTATCTTTCATTTTCACTTAAAATAGGTTTATCAATTTCCGTTTCTCAAGTGAATTTCTCCGCAAATGTTATATTCTACTTTTTAAAACAATGTGTAATAGCAATCTCACATTATCCTTTCAAACACTACCATAAGTTGCCATACATTAGTTTTTTCTCTTCCATTTGCATTTTGGTAATATTTGAAAGTAGATTAGGACTGAAAAAACTAAAACAGGTTAGCACTAAGAAGTTTATGCACTGTTCAGTTACTTGTACAGTAAAATTTGGCTTTTAGCTTTCATTTTTGACTTTCTAGACATAACTGAATTTATCAAATCATTTTTTAAAATATTATGTGAACTATTCCTAATGAATTTGACTTTATTCAGTAACAAAGTTTATTTTCCTAAAGCCATTCTCCAACTGAACACCTAAAATATTACGCATGGAAGCACTTCTTCCTTTTTTAATATTTTGTGATTAAGAGTAAAAATGTAACTGTTCTTTTAGTAAATACAGGCTACTAAAGCATTTACCAAATAAATAACCTTGTGTTAGTTTAGCAGATAAATGTTTTTATGATATGCTTTCAACATTATTTAGTAAAGATTGAATCAGAATGTATTAAACATGAAATTTTTATTCCGTTCTGACCAAGCACTAACAATGGATTTTACTAAGTGAGAAGATTTGTCTTCTATATTTTAAGTAGAACAAATTTGAATTTTGCTTCTGATAATAAAATTTTCTACAGTAATGTGTAATTCATCACTGTCTTAATTTTCTGACATGTGCAGATAAGACTAAGATAAATAATACTCTGCTTTTTACTATGCCTCTGTTTCACGTAAGAATCCCTTTAAAATATTCTGAGTATACATACTATAAACATCCATGAAAGAGGAAAAATTCACTCACTTGGCTCTTAAAAATATACATGCTGAATCTAGAATAAAGAAGTATTTGTACTATATTGTATGATGGGAAAACATCAATTCAGTCTGCTTTCTAATTATAAGTCTTTAGAATAAAATGAGATGATGTGCACTGTGGTAAAAGTGATTTCACCTGAAACGCATTTCAGATTGCTTTTTAATAGGTTTTCTGCATTCAACAGACTGTCAGTCTACCTGAATTTCAAGAACAGTTTTCAATAACAACAGAACTATAAAATTTGTATAATCATGGTCATAAGTAGTACTCAGAAGGTACTTTTCAGTGCCCCTGGGTTTTTCTCTTTCTAAGAATTGGTCAGAGAACATTAGAATTGACTCTGCATAGCTCTAAGCATACTTTATACAGCCATAGGTAATCTTCTCTGCTGTAAGCATGAGGGTGAGAAATACTGGCCTTCAAAGGCAGAATTAAGAATATTCTTTATTAGCGGAGATGACTAATATCTGCATGTATATGCATATATCTCCAGGAATGTATATTATATAATATTAAACATAGTCCATATAATATATATATAGCTATATTTTATACATCTATATTA